GGAATCGTGCTGCGTTGACAGAGTGTAGGATTTACTGAACATGTCGGCAAACCCATTTAGAATGATGTCGATTAAATTTTTGACCTTTTTGTAAATACTCGACGGGTAAGTTATCTACACTTTTTCTTCAACATTCCATAGATAATTACTTACTCGCAGGTATAGCACTGATGATGGCTCATTAGCCGAGAGCGCTCTGATATTTGATAATGAAAATTTTACACAAAATAAAGACATTTTGTTCTTTATTCAATTGATCAGTTACGTGTATGCAGCTAGTACAAATCTTCACCTTTGTTAGATTTGACTAGATGAAAGGTTTCAAAGATGAACGTGACAGACGAGCATGACGTTCCCAATCAGCACCAGACATCTTAAAGACGTACATTCTACGACTTACTTACGTCTTTACGTCCAGGGACGTATAAAGTACGTCTTTAAGATGTAAATCCATGTACATCTTAAAGACGTACACAAATTTACGTCTTTAAGACGTACATTTTAGGTCGTATCCACGTCGTTCCTCTATCATGTCGTATAAAAGACGTCTTAAAGACGTACATTCCAGTACGTCAATTCGACTTATAGAACAATAATGTAAGTTATTTTCTGAAGAAAAACAAAATGTCATCTCTTCACGTTTTTTATTTTCAATTGTTCAGTTTTTTATTATTTTCAACAAAAGTGATGTTTTTGAATTTTTTCGTCCGACATTTTGGAGCCTTCGTGTTAGATTCTCGAATTTTTACAAAAAAATCATATTCTCCGACCCCAAAAGTCCCATAGTAATCAATTTTGAATGAAATCGGACTATAATCACAAAACTCGTCCGCCATTTTGAAGCCGACATCTTGGATTTTTCATTTTCGACAAAAGGAATTATAATCTCTGATCCCGAAATCCTTCAGATACCAATTTTGAATCAGATAAGACCATAATCAGAAAACCATATGCCACATCGTCCCCCATATTGGATCCGCCATTCTGTTTTTTTCATTCAATAATAATATCACAACGAATTGTCACCGGAATAATATTTACTTGCCAAATTTCAAATCAATCGGACGATTTAAAGTGAGTCAAATTTAACTTGCACGTTTTGATTACAAACAGACACAAGGACATGTTAAACTAAGTAAAAGCTTGTTATGTGATATATAGAACAAACAGAGTTACAGAAGAAGTGAATATGGTATAATCATCGAAGTCAAGCAACAAAGAGCGCGGTTAGTACTTGAATGGGTGACCGCTTTTGTATCTACCGTTTGATGAAGTCGTTTATTTCCCTTTTTTTTGCATGTCTGTTGCTAACTTCAGTGGACAGGTGAAAATCAACTGAAACTATGTGATTTTTCCGTAATTTGAAAGATCAATTTGAGGTCATGGACCAAAAACACCCAAAAAAGACGTCTTAAAGACGTACATATCAGTGGAAAATGTACGTTTTAAAGAGGTCTTAAAGACGTCTCTTGGGCGTAATATGTACGTCTTTAAGACGTACTTATGTCCCGACATGTACGTCTTAAAGACGCCTTTAAGACGTACTTTGGCTGATTGGGTTAGAAAGTGAGGTTAGAATCATTCTTGTTTTCTTGATATTTCTAAGCATTACGCTGTTGCCAGGGTCACAAAATAGTTTGGATTTGTAAATAATCTCGATTATTATTAGTAATATTAGAATATTCTTATTGGCACACTGCAGAATCTTATCTTGCAAGATATATTAGTATTCAATACGTGTTTATTAAGGACCAGGACTTCTGTCTTCTGTGAATGTGAATTCTGTTATTGGTCATATTGAATACCATGAGGCAATTACTAGTTATGATTTTCAACAAACATCACTATTGCCAAGTGAAAAGGTGTATGCCGTCATCGAGAGCTAGCGTTTTTTCAAAGTGCCGATTTTAATTATTGAAAAAAGTTCATTATTCCACATTTTTTGGGATTTTCTCTCCTCGTTTCTACAAAATTAAATTTGAATATACGTGTAGTAAGGACAAATCAGATGATTCGCGCCTGAAGGAAAAATTCACTAGCTTGTCAGTGACAATTTGTATTGAAAAAGGTTTGGAGAAGAGAAATAAAGGTATATAGGAAATATATCGAATTTTCACTTAGCTTTGGACGTTTCGAGACCGAATCTGCTCCCGTTTTCAACATTAAAAATGGTTATCTGTATAGCAAATTCGTATCTGTCTTGAAACTTTTCAGTTCTCAGTGACAATTGGTGACGTTGTCAATCAAATGAGTTACAGGATGTTTTCATTAATTAATCTTGAATTTCCCATTTTCATTTTCAGATTTCAGTAGTGAATACCATGTTCTATATCTATATCACAGAAAGCAATGCTATCGTCTCCGTTCAGAAGAATTCAAGCAGATTCCTTGATTTTTCTCTTCTGGTTGTTATCTTCTTTTCCAATGATTTTAATATTATTCCACTCTGCCATATGTTGTCCACCTTCCAAGGATATGTTCAACTAAATAGTTTCGATTTGTCGATGTGTCTTTTCTTTATACAGGGTGTTTCACAGGTAAAGGGAAATATTTCAATGGTAGATAGGGGTCACCAAGGTGGTTCTGAAAATACCATATTTGATAGGTCTTAGAGTTTTCATAACGGAGATACAGGGCGATTTATCGATTTCGAATAATTATTCATTCGTCTATAAGTATTGAACTACCCAGTATATTTCTCTAAAATTTGGTATGGAGCTTGAACTTGGGACGTTGAATGCATTCACCTATCGGGCGAAGTGAAAACCCAGGTTCGGCTCCAGGAAAAATTTACATTTATTCGAAATATTAAAATAACACACTTTATGTTATAATTGAAAAAGTTCATCAAAAAAATCAAGAAGAGGAGGAACAACTGAACTGGATTTGATGCTTTTTGTTTTCCCGCCACCAATTCTCATCGTAACAATCATAAACAGGAAGCTAAAAGTATGTCAATTTCAAGAGTATTAAAATTATGAAACCACTTTCAATTATGATTATTTGATATATTCTTGTTAAATGATCGTTCGAAAGATTTTACTTAGTCTCACAGTCTTTATAACAGAGATACAGGGTGAATTATCACTCGTCCATAAGTATTAAACTACCCATCGCAGTAATATTTTTTTCAAATTTGGTATTGAGCTTACTTGAGACGATGGATTCATTGACCTATCAGGCAGAATGGAAATACAGGTTCAGCTTCAAGAAAAGTCTCATAGTCTTTATACAGAGATACAGGGTGAATTATCGAATTATAATTCCGCCTGATAGGTTAATGAATCCATCGTCCCAAGTAAGCTACATAACAGATTTGAGAAAATGTTACTGGGTAGTTTTATACTTATCGACGAGTGAATAATTATTCAATACCGATAATTCATCCTGTATCTCCGTTATAAAAAATGATGAGACTTAGTAAGTTCTTTCGAGCGATTTTTTGACTAAAATATATCGAATAATCATAATTGACACTGGTTTCATAATTCCAATACTCTTCAAATTGACATCATACTTTCAGCTTTCTGTTTATGATTGTTACGATGGGAATTGGTGGCGGGAAAACAAAAAGCATCAAATCCAGTTCAGTTTTTCCTCCTCTTTACGATTCCTTTGATGAACTCTGTCAATTATTACATACAGTGTGTTATTTTAATATTTCAAAAAAAAGTGAATTTTTCCTGAAGCCGAACCTGTATTTTCTCCTAGCCCGATAGGTGAATGAATTCAACGTCCCAAGTTTAAGCTCCATACCAAATTTTAGAGAAATATACTGGGTAGTTCAATACTTATAGACGAATGAATAATTATTCGAAATCGATAAATCGCCCTGTATCTCCGTTATGAAAACTCTAAGACCTATCAAATATGGTATTTTCAGAATCACCTTGGTGACCCCTATCTACCATTGAACTATTTCCCTTTACCTGTGAAACACCCTGTATTGTATTTATGCTGCTTCGTCCTTACTGAAACAGGTCTGACGCTTCCTGTTCAGTTGATATAGATAGAACATGATATTCACTATTGAAATCTAAAATTGAAAATGGTAAATTCAAGATTAATTAACGAATACATCCTGTAACTCATTTGATTGCCAACGTCACCAATTGTCACTGAGAACTGAAAAGTGTCAGGACAAATACAAATTTACGATGCAAAAAAAAAACATTTTTTATGTTGAAAACGGAAGCAAATTCGTTCCCGAAACGTCCAAAGCTGAGTATAAATTTCATATTTTTTCACTGACAAGCTAGTGAATTTTTCGTTCTCGGCACTCTGATAGGAAAATTCTTTGAACGCAGTAACATTTTGGGGCAAATCATCTGATTTGTCCTTACTACACGTATATTTTAATTTTATTGAAACGAGGAGAGGAAATCTCAAAAAATCTGGAAGAATAAAAAGAAGGTAGTTGATTTTTCTATAGCCACTATGATTTGAAAATTAGCAACGTTATGCATAAGATGTGAGTGTATCAATATTTTTACATCGATTCCACTCGAAAATGATACTTCTGATCGATGCGGAACAAGAGCATCTCTCTTGTGAAACGGTGTGGATTTTCATAATCCGAAATTAAATTGTCGACAAATATGCAAACGAAAAGTTTGAGCAATATTTAATGTAGTCCCACCCTGTATTATACACTCCTGAATGAAACTTTAAAAGAGTTTTTGAACCAAATTGCATCATTTTATTACGTGGCGTTTCGGAAATATTCAAGAAATATCATCTTCTGGACCCCCCTTTGGAGGAGGCCGTAGCTTCCTTAGGAGACATTCCTTGAATCAAGTTCATTAGATATTTTCTTTCTATATTTGATAGTAGAAGCCGTTGGTAGAGTTTGGCAGGCTGATTTCGGGACACTCTGTATAATCCGTGGATCTGATTGTTTAATTTACGATACTCATTGCATCACTGAAAGATGTATCATCTCAGTCTCCGTTGGTTATCGACAAACAATAATCCATTCTAATTGAATACTGACACAACATCAAGATACGTGACCATTTATTGGTTGCACAACAAAATCCAGTAGAACAAAGATAATTGCAGATATTCCATTTCAAACATCTCGACTTTTTACTCATTTACAACAAACACTATCGGGAAAGCAAAAAACTATTAATTCCAAGAAACAACTCAAAATACAAATCTATTCCCGGACAACCGTTGCCCAGGATCTACCACTGTTGATAGTAAGGCTGAGAACTCCTCGACATGGCAGTACTTGTAGAACCTTGCGGCACCCCAAGGCTATACCTGCTCGGAAAAGGATAACCAGTAGTCAGCGGTTTGCTCCGACTGTCCTTGGGAAACCCTCCCGACCAATGATCTGCGACCCTAGTAGACTCAGCAAGTCTATGACGGAAGTCGAAATGCGGAGTTGAAGTGACTTCGCTGTAACGTTTCCGGGAAGATTCTGGATCCAACTTGGGAGCTGGAGGAGCTGAAATGTAATCGTCGTTCCTAGAGCGTTTTCCAGACCTGTCGGAAGAAACCAAGCGACTGCTTTGGGTACTCCTGGATTGCGGCTTCGCTACTGGTGACACTTCTCTGATTGGACGCTTGTAAGGCGATCGCTCTCGCTTGTAAGCAGGCGACGACGATCTAGCCAGAGCGAACTTCAGCCGCTCCTTCAGCTTCCTGACCTCTTCCAGATTCTTGGCGACCGTCTCTCTATCCGTTTTGATTCTGTTGATGGTGGCTGCTCTGTCTCTTTCGAAGTTCTGTCTCTCTTGGCTGAGGTTGCGGCGCTCGTCTCTGTTCTCGTCTTTCAACTTTTTCACTTCTCGCTCCAAACTGATGCACTTGTTGCGCATTACGTCATGCCTCTTCTGATAACCGTCCAACTTCCTTTTCAATCTGGTGTTGTCAGTGATCAGATCGTCTACTTTCTTAGTTAAAGTTGCCACAGTTCTCTGCAGCTGATCATCGCTAGGTTTGTTTTCAGCGCTCTTAATCACCTTTGTGTCCTTCGTTTTGTCATCTAGTGGTTTAACTTGAGGGCTAGCTGCCTTAGTATCGACTACAGGATCCTCAACTTTATCTTCCACTGTCTTCTTCACACGTTTACTGGCCGGTTTATTCATTCCCTCGGGCTTATTGGCAGTCAAATCTGGTCGCGATTTAGACACAGTTATGTTGACACCGTCCAGTAAAGTATTGTTGAATTGCTTCACGCACTTCAAAGTCACGGCGTAATTTTCCATGGACACGTAGCCGTAGAAGCTTTTGCCGTTCGTCAATATTTTGGCGGTACACACCTTGCCTACTTTGCTGAACAGGGCTTTCAAGTCTGCGGCTTTAACTTCACGATGGATGTTGGACACCCACAAGAAATTGTTCTTCTTTCTGTCGGCTGCTTGGGCAGATTTCCCGGTAGCCTCTCTTTTCTCTGGATCAGGCGCTGTTGAAGCTTCGGCATTCTTCTGGATAGGATCAGAAGTTGTCTTCTTAGGGTCTTCGTCTTTGTTGTGACGCTGTGGGGAATCTACAACAAACAATTCATCTTCACAACAACTCAAACAGCAGGATGTCCACTCTTCTTCTCACCGGGTTCTGCGTCGCTGTTGTTTTCTGAGTTTAGTTTGAGGATGCTGTCTTCATCCGCATGCGCAGCAGATGTTTTTGGGTCCTCGGCTACGGTTAGGGGGATTTTGGTATCGCTGTTGGTCACTGCTGCCATGTTCAAGCGCTAAATATGGTAGGCTTATTCGCCTAAGACCTGGGTGCAGAAGAAGAAGAATTATCAATGTGCGATGTGATTGCGAATGGGATGGGTGGCCATGTTGCCTGCGTATGTTCTCTGTCAGGTCGTTCATTGAAACAAAATCCGTAAAAGAGGTCGGTACTGTTAGCTTGAGAGTGGTTTCCATACAGCTTGAAGCCTTTCGTCTGTAATGCCGGTTTGCTGTTAGCGCTACCAAGCATTATCTTCGTGGCTGGTCTCAAGACTCAATGATATATCTGAGGAATGCACTTTTCATATTTGGTTTCATCCTCGTTTGATCTTATTTTACTTGATACCAATGATACTGTCAGATTTCGACCCATCTTGATGTCAGTGGTTCATGGGTGCGAACAGCCTTTGAATTTTCCCCTTTCTTATGAAACAATACTTCTACTTGGCATGGTATTCCTTCTGTCTGGCAATCTTTGCGAGATCCATAGTGAAAGTTTCTGCTGCCAAGCATTGTTTTTGTGGCAGATCTTAAGACTCATTGATATATCTGAGGATTCGACTTTTTATATTTGGTTCCATCAGAGGTTCAATCTTATTGTAAGTACTTCATAGCAATGAAGATGTCAAATTTCGACTCATCTTGATGTTTCGTGGTTCATGAATGAGCTATATCCATTCTTTGGATTTCTTTCTGTCTTATGAAATGATACTTCTACTTCGCATCGGAAGTCAGGATGTCAGGATATCTTTGCTAAATCTTGCAGCGCATAGTTGAAGTTTCTGCTGCCAAGCATTATTTTTGTGGTGGATCTTAAGACTCATTGATGATCTGTGAATTCGACCTTTCATATTTGGTTCATCCCAAATTTAACCATAGCTATGGAAATGTCAGATTCTGATACATCTTGATGAATTGTGGTTCGGATATAGCTCACATTCTTTGGTTTTCCCCCTTTCTTATGCAAGAGTACTTCTATTTTGCATTATAGTGTTTCTTCTGCCAGGAATATCATTGGAAAAGATCTTGCGACTCACATAGCTGCATATAGCTCACAGACTCTGAATTTCCTCTAGTCTTGAACATATTCATTGACATAGGTGTCACTGTTGTGATTTCATCTTTTAAGTATTTGTTCATATAGTGTTTATTTCGCCAGACGAATTCAATTGCAACATCTGTCTCTATGAATGCCTTTTCGTGCTTTATTTTTCTTTCACAGCCTGCATAGTGTATCTTCTGTCAAACAATGATTATTGTATACTAAATCACTTATACATTATTTGTGATTCATTATAATGATACCTCTCTCTTAATGCTTTATAAAACTGCTGCAACATTCTAACTTAATCATTTTGTACCCGTTATGTAGAAGATATGTTATATCTGGTAATACAGTGATGATTTCATTAACTACCTGTCATGTAGTCATGAAGTGAATTCATCTGGATGGGAAATGCAGAAAGTCTGGGCTAGTTATATTGTGGTGTTATCATCGTTGGACCTCTAGTATGTACCTTGTTTCAATGGACGCCAAAAGAGCAGCGATCAACTGTTGATTTGGGATACGCAACTTCAAGTTTTACAAGGTTGCTCACATGTAGGTAAATTCTGCCATTTTTATTGTTGAAGCAAGGACCATAGGTTTCAGTAATCAATCAATATTTGGCCAAGAATGGAATAGTCATAACAAAATTAATATAAACCGGTCTATTTATATTTAAGCAACTAGTAACAAGATGACAGCCTTGAGCTTCCAGATGTTTTGCACCATTTTCCTCAATACTCTAGAATCTGGAAAGGATTTGGCAAACCAGGTAGCATATCATTTGGGATGAATACGAATTTCATATATAATATACATATAATAAAAACAGCAATATTGGTTCAATATAATTAAAAATTGATTGAATGATTCAATATAGTATATGTAGAAAAACATCAAGATTATTCAATATTGTTTCACGAATATAATTTCACGAATATAGTTGAAACAATATTGTTCGGATAGTGTTTTCAAAATCCATAATGCAATTCGAATATCCCTCTCATATTGATTCTGGAGGTTAAATACAATATCATAAATAATTCAAGTTTGACAATACATTAGTTGAATAGTGTTTCAACAATATTCAAAATGTCAATATTTGTCGCATGTCGATTATAGAAATAAAAATAGTATATATTGTTCAATTAGGATCAAAAGTGACACTTTGTTTGACAAGCGAATTCTGCATGAATGCGCGAGTCATACGAAGTCACTTTTGATCCGAATGAAACATGCTATTTTTTCTGAAACCCAAAGAACTAAAATAATTACCAATGTGACTCATCTGACAGATTATTATAATACCATTTATATAATAATATGAGTAAGTAGATAGAAGCAAGACCTCAGAATACTTCACTTTGTTACAATTTTGTGTTGACATGCATCAAACCCGAAACGCGAATGCCGTGCAATATGTTTGCAATGCAACAAATAATCCGTGTGGTGAAAATATTTTACCTGCAGTTTACCTGCATTTACAGATCAGGTTTATTCAATTTTGAAGGCTGTTCGAATTGTAGTTTATTCAATATGAATACAACCACAGAGTGACATATTTGTGTATAGACCAGGTACTCTAATGGCAAATACCCTGCCAGTGCCAGATATAGGAACAAGACGTGGAAAAAGTTAGGTTAGTGAGCATATCAACAATAATAATAGCGATTATTTATTCCTCTCCAAACTACACTGTGTTTGACTTGATAATCAAATGGATGTAAACAATATCGTTGTTTGAGATAAAAAACTATTGCTTGCCGTGATTATTCAACAAGTTATCCATCCCGAGAATAACGAATGAAATACAGATCAAGCAAGTATGTGATTCTTGAAGGCTTCCCAGATCAAAACAAAAATACTTAACTGAGATGTCGATAAATCCTATACTTAACTATAATAAGGTGTATTTATATCTCCAGCAAATCTGCCGAAATTGGGAACAAATCAGGTATGCGTCCCAACCCAAATAACCAACCGTAACAATGTTGTTTATTCTTGATGACGTCTAGTACATCCTTTTCAGTTCCTAGGAGCTAAAGTTCAACTTTAGATCCCAGGAACTAAAGTTCAACTTTAGCTCCTTGGAACTGAATATGTTGCCTAGCAACATACCCATTTTTGTGTCAGTAATAGACACGTCAATTCAGAAGCTATTTTTGGTATTATAATGGCCGACTTTGGTATCGGTTGCAGAAAATCAATATTTTTGATCCAAGTTCAATAGCATATCATCTATGGAGATAACAACACAGACGGATTTCACAATATGTATACCAACATGCTCAAGTGATTTTTCACCACATCGATGAATGATTGAGACAAATGACTGATATACACCAACATTGCTTTTGAAAAACTTAAGCAATGTTGTAAAAGATGATTTTGCAACATATAATATTCCACCAATATAAGCAATACGATATTGTCCCAATATTAATACATTTCCACAATTTCTAAGCCAATTTTGTCTATCTGAAATGAAAATATTCCACCAATGTTGATTTGACGATATTTTCAATATGATACCAAGACAGGCGAATAATATCAATTGTTGCTCAGTATTGCTAAATATTCATAACTTTTCCTCACCAATATCCTTGAATATACAGGGTGTGTCACGATGAGCTTACACTATCTTTATATCGAGAATCAGTCGGGAGACATCCATGAAAATGTGCCAGCTCATATTTCAGAATACGACCACTTCATTATATACAAGGTGGTTCTAACTCAAGGGTCAAACTCTGGGAGTATATAGAGTGAGTGAAATAATTACGAAAACCTCGGTAGGTAACATTTTTTTCTTGAAGTCCCCCCAAGAAAAATACAGCCCCTCAAAGGGGGGCCTCGGAGAATGATTTTGTATTATTATTTCCAACACCTCCTATGATGAAAATCTAAAATTTTGTTTATCCACTAACTATTCATTGCCGGTTCAAATGGAGTTGAAATCACCTCAAAATTAAATACAGGGGTGTGTCAAAATAGGGAGGTAAGGGGGTAAAAATAACCCAAACTTTTTTGTTCATCGCAATTTCAGTTTTTTTACATGAAATTATGAAATCTCAGGGCTATTAACATAGAATAGGAGTTCTTGTTGAATCTCGATAAACTGAACCATTAGCGAATTGAACTTATTTTTCCAAGATTTCATTTAAATTGTAATTTTGGTATGCACTTAAGTTAAGTTCAAATCTTGCAACTGAATTTTTACCTACTTCTAATCGTCTGATCAACTTGAAATCTGGCAGATGACAGTTGACATCGCGTTATGGACTGTTTGATGAAAAAAAATATGGCCGTTCCAATGTGGCTGACCAGATTTGTGATTATGGTCCGATTCGATTCAGAATTGATTTGTAAGGGTTTTTGGGGTTGGAAATTTTGAATTCCTTGTCGGAATTCATGAATTAAAAATATACGACGAGTTTCGTGATTATGGTCTGATCCTATTGAAAATACTAAAATAAAAGATATTGTTAAAAACAAGTTTTTTTTTAAATTTTATTCGATAATAGTTCATTTCATCGAGATGCAACAAGAGCACCTTTTCTATGTAAATAGCCCTGAGATTTCATAACTTCATGTCAAAAAACTAAAATTGCGATGAACAAAAAAGTTGGAGTTATTTTTACCCCCTACCTCCCTATTTTGGCACACCCCTGTATTTAATTTTGGGGTGATTTTAATTCGAACCATTTTACCCACCCTATTTTACCCACTTTATATGCTCCCGAAGTTTGACCACCTATTTTAGAATCACCTTGTATATTTTCGACAATGCAGTGTTGCCACTTCTACTAGAAAGTGGTATCAACATTGATATTTCAAATGGAACACCCTGTATTTCATCGTATTTTTAGATTCTCCCTGAAGAGCTTATTTCATCGATATATCACATTTGGGGTCTATCGAAAATGATTACAGAGATAAAGGATGTTCAAAATCGAGATTTTTCAATTTTAGGATTTTTTTGTGTCGAAACTATTCATT